AATGAAAATATTATTTTCCTGCGCAACGGTAGACGACGCTAATGAGAAAAGTTTTGTAATTGTCTCCGTTTACTAAAAAAATTAAATGCAACGATATAGGTTTTTTTTCATGGCTTGATAGACCATTCATTATGTAAAACAAATACACAAACCGGAGGTCGATATCTTTTTTTCGTTTTCAAGTTATTGCTAAAATAGTGAGGTTGTGTTGGAACATCAATCTTTATTTAGTTCTCTAAATAACATTGACATAATCCAAGCCAAAATTAAATTGTAAAACTATACCAATCTTTTCCTTAAAAAGAATTATTGCTTTATTTTGAAATTTTTTTGATAACCACAATGTTTCATTTTTTTTATTAATTCGAAATATCTGAGTAGTTATAAAGATTTTTGTTTCCATAACGAGGCAGGCTATGCCCTATGAAAATAGACAACTGAAAAATTATGCTAAATGAAATGTGACAGCTCTTGCTACAAGCATACTTTTAATTTTTGCTTATTACTTGAGTTTTGGTTTGTATAAATAATAAAGCAAATCAAGGTAGGTACTTTACCAATGATTTTTACACGTCATTTATATGGATTTAGTTTCTTTTGAATTCGAACAAATGTAAAAAAAACGAATAAGGAACAGTATTATTCCACCCATAATTTTTTTATACCGCACCTTTCGAGTTGGATTTGTGCTATCATTGTAAAATTCGTAAATATTTTTATTCTATTAATAACCGGTGCTGCATTAAATTTTGGCTACGTAAGGTACACAGTGCTGCCAACTTTATTTTTCACGTCTGCTGATTGTTTTCATATCCAGGAGCATTTCAAAAATACATTCACATGATCCAGAAAAAAGAAATGTGCTGGGCAAATTCGCACTGAACTAAACAGGATTACATGGTTTTGGCTAGTGACGGATAAACGATATGTAGGAAGTTAAAATAGATATTAATAAATTTTTCTTTAATTGGGGGTGATTAACATACAGTGTAAGATTAAAAGGTTAATAAGAAATTAAATAGAAAAATAAAATGCAGAAAAGGATCAATTCTTTTATCGTAGCTCAATTTCGTATTGATCTAATGTATAGTGTAGAAACAAAACCAGGAGATAATTTCTATTTGTTTTTATTTAATTATTTCAATATATCCAGTACGTGGTTTTCCTTAGTTCCTAATAAATTATTGATTATGGATTACCTTGAATAGATTAATAAATTATTAATGAGCAGTTTTCTTTTATGAAATTATTACTTTTATTCCAGTCGAATTAGAGTTTGAATGTGAAACAATTATTAGTAGACAATTTACTTTTTTTACTGCCCATGAATATCCAGACGACCTATCGGAAAATTAGTCATTTTATGTTGTGGGCAATTAAATTACCTACAATTTAAGGTACCTATCTAAAGTCATATTTCACCAATTTGTCATTGCAAAATAAAGGTTGGACGCGGATAAATAAATATAAATATAAAACTTTTTGG